TCAAAAGATGGAAAAAGAAATAATAAATGGGACAAATAGAGGGGCACCTGGGTGGCTTAGTAGGTTAAGCATCTGTCTTTGGCTGAGGTCATGATCCCAGAGTCCTGGGATTGAACCCCACATCCAGCTCCCTGCTCACTGGGGAGTCTGCTTCTTACTCTCCCTTTGCCACTCACCCCCTGGTGCTCTCTCTCTCTCACTCACTCTCTCTCAAATAAATAAATAAAATCTTTAAAAAAAATAATAAATGGGACAAACAAAAAACAAAGAAGATCATAGATTAAGGCTTAACCACATGAATAATTATATTAAAAGTAAGTTATCTAGGGCGCCTGGGTGGCTCAGTTGGTTAGGCGACTGCCTTCGGCTCAGGTCATGATCCTGGAGTCCCTGGATGGAGTCCCGCATCGGGCTCTCTGCTCGGCGGGGAGTCTGCTTCTCCCTCTGACCCTCCTCCCTCTCATGCTCTCTGTCTCTCATTCTCTCTCTCTCAAATAAATAAATAAAATCTTTAAAAAAAAAAAAAAAGTAAGTTATCTAAATAACCCAATTAAAAGGCAGAGATTATAAAATAGCAAGATGCAAGTATATGTTGTAAACATGAAAACCACTTTAAAGACACAAATAGTTTTTAAAATAAAGTAAAAAGTTATAAAAGTTATAAATATTAGTGTTTAAATAGTACAAATCCAAAGAAAGCTGAAAAGGTAAAGCAAAGATTATTACCAGAGATGATAAAAGTCACTTTGTAACAAGAGTAAGGTTAATTCATCAAGAGCACATAACATCCTAGACATTTAGGCACTTATTAACAGAGCTACAAAATACATGAAGCAAAAACTATGGAATAGCACAAAGAAATAAACAAATTCAGAATTAGAGTCATAAATTACAATATCCCTCTCTCTAATTAATAGAATAAGGAAACAGAAAATTAATAAGAATATAGAAGACTTGAATAGCACTATCAACCAACTTTACCTAATAAATATTTATAGACCAGTCCACTCAACAGCAACAGAACATGCTTTTTTATCAAATGTAGATGGAACATTTACCAAGATAGGCCACATTCTGAGCCATTAAAAAGTCATTATAAATTTGAAAGTATTCAAGTCATAGGAAATATATTATCTGAGCACAATGGAATTAAATTAAGATCAATAACAAAAAAAAATCTCTAAAAAAAATCCCTAAATAGGGGCACCTGGGTGGCTCAGTTGGCTAAGCATCTGCCTTGGCTTAGGTCATGATCCGAGGATCCTGGGATTGAGCCCCACATCTGGCTCCCTGCTCAGCAGAGAGCTTGCTTCTCCCTCTCCCTCTGCTACTCCCCTTCCTTGTGCTCTCTCTCTGTCAAATAAACAAATAAAATCTTAAAAAAAAAAAAGCTTTAAAAAATAAATAAAAATAAAAAATAAATTTTAAAAGCCCTAAATATTTGGAAACTAGATTGCACATGTCTATATACCTAATGGATCAAAGAAAGAAAAGAAAAGAGAAATTAGGAAGTATTTTGAACATAATGAAAATGAGAACACTGCATATCATTTTTTGTGGGATTCTGCTTAGGGAAGATTTATAGTACTAAATACCTCTATAGAAAAAAGAAAACTCTCAAATCAATGATCTTAGCTTCTACCTTAAGTATTGAGAAAAAGAAGAGCTAATTAAACACAAGGTAAGTAGAAGATTAAAACAATAAAATCTAAAGAGAAATCAATGAACTATAAGTGAAAAGAACAGAGAAAAATCAATGAAACCAAAAACTAGTTCTTTAAGCAGATCAGTAAAATCGGTAAACCTCTAGCCAGACTGACAAGAAAAATGAGAGAAGTGACACAAATATGCTCAGCATCATTAATCATCATGGAAATGCAAAATAAAACCACTCTGAGATACCATTATATCCCTATCATAATGACCAAACTTCAAAAGCCTGCCCGTATCAAGTATTAATGAGAAAGGGTAACAGCTGGAAATAAAACACTGCTATTAGGTATATAAAAGGGCACAACCGCTTTGAAAAAGAGTTTGACCATTTCTTCGAAAGTTAAGCATATACTCGCCATATGATCTAGTCATTCCACTCCTAGGCATTTTCTCGAGAGAGAAATGAAAGCATATGTCCACACAAAGATTAGGAAACAAAATTCATAGCAGCTTTGTTTGTAACAGCTCAAAACTGGACACAATCCAAATGCCCATCAATAAGTGAGTGGATAATCAAACTGTGATATATTTATTCAAATGGAATACTACTCAGCAATAAAAAAGGGTGAACTATTAATACATGCAAAACATAGATGAAGCTAAAAGTAATCATACTGAAAAAAAGAAGCCAGGCCCGGAAAAAGAAAACAAATTATATGGTTAGGTTTATATAAAATTCTAGAAACTCAAGCTAATTAATATACAGTAACAGACAGCCGATTAGTGGTTGCCTAGACAACGGGAATGAGGTCAGAAGAGAGGGATTACAAGAAAATTTAGGGGGATGGCAAATATGTTCCTAGTCTTGAATGTGGTGATACCTGCACTGGGGTACACATACTTACGTCAAGACTCATCAAATTGTATACTTAAGGGGCGCTTGGGTGGCTCAGTTGGTTAGGCGACTGCCTTCGGCTCAGGTCATGATCCTGGAGTCCCAGGATCGAGTCCTGCATCGGGCTCCCTGCTCGGCGGAGAGTCTGCTTCTCCCTCTGACCCTCCTCCCTCTCATGCTCTCTGTCTTTCATTCTCTCTCTCTCAAATAAATAAATAAAATCTTAAAAAAAAAAATTGTATACTTAAAATATATGCAATCCATTGTATGTCAACTGTACCTCAATTAATCTGTTTAAAAGATTAATAGGCAAATATGAGTAAATGCATACATAAATGAAAAGTTGGTTTCTTACCAGTCATTCACATTAATCAAGATGGGAAACATTAATTTATTTGGAGCCTGGTAAAAACATCAACAAAGACAAAAAGGATCCATTTGAATTCATCTTATTATATCTAAAACTAACCTAGAATACACTACACAGTTTTTTTCATAAACTCATTAAGAAAACAGGATACTGTGTTTCCAACAAATTACATACAATACATACATGCAAACAAAAAAATCAGTATAGGTCTTTCTCTTGCTACTATCGATAATTCTAGATCTATGATAATTCTAGTTTTGAGATTTAGTCTGCACAGCGTAAATTCTGATGCACTTTGGTCTCAGATTTTCCACGATCAAATGAGAATACATTTGTATGACTTAAGATCTTTCCATTTGTGGTTCAGTTTGAACAGGATCGAGAAGTTCTGATCCCTTCTGCCCAAGGTCTTAGAAAACAGAGGTTACACTGTGGTCGTGTGTTCATGGGGGAGCTGCACCTAATACATGTTACAGTCCTAATTTGTTCCAGCTACAGTTGTAATTCTGCTCCGAAATCCAGTGCGTGGAAAATGGAAAAAGATTAGGCTGCTGGAGAGGGAGATAAAGTAGGCTACATCTGATTCTAGGATTTTTATTTCAAACAATATAAAAAATTGCATGAGATTCTTCAGGTTATTTTTTTTTAATTCTGCTCGCTTTCCTAGGTGGAATAATAATCCCCTTTTCTGCCTTGCAATCTTTCCATCTACACAGAGTCTACACATTAAAAAATATTCTTCAACTGAAGTAATTAGGCCAAATACCATTTTAACATACAAAGTCTTTGAAATATATAACACACAAAGAAATTCAGGTTTATGTGGTTCAAGTGCCTCATAGTTTTTTGAAGTTTATGCTCTTTACCAAGAGCAAGTCTTCAGTTGGTCTGTAAATTGGCATGTCTAATACGTTTATAGATATTTGAAAATGTGTATCTTCAACACTTAATGCCTTGTACTTTTATTTATAAATATTCTTTGCTTCAAAAATTTTTCAAAATGATCACAAAAACTATGTTGGAAATGTGAGTTTTTTATAGATTTGCTTTGTCTGCATAAGGGCATTCTTTAATTGTTTTATATCCACATTTACGTATTTGTCTCTCTTCACCCCCAAACTCTAAAACAGAAAAATGTCACGGTAAAGAGCTCAAAGACTTCGAAATCAGAGGACCTGGTTCAGCCCCAGGACCACCACTAGCTCCAGCCCCCTGGTCCTTACCTCTCTCTGCCTATTTCTTCAAACATTACATAGGAATGATATTCACAGGGTTGTAGTGTGGATGAATCAAAAGAATTGAGTAAAACTTTTAGCCAAGAGCCCAACACATATTGAGCACTCAAAAAAACTAGAGCTACCTTTAAACTATAAAAATTTTAGGACAGGGCCCAGTGATTATCTCATTATCTCATTATATAGCAACAGAACTACAATGTGTCCTAACAGGAATGGAATACTTGAAAATTATTATTTGACCAAAAGGAATATTTCTTAGAAAGTCAGAGAAAGCCTAAAAAGAATAATATAATTACAGTGAAAAGGCCTAGCTTAAATTCCACATTTGGCATCTTAATTAAATAACCAATTCTGGTTGGTTATTTCATTCTACTGATCATGTCATAATCTATAAAATGGACATGACCTGTGTCAGTGGGAAATTCTTGGTGAATCCATACTGAGAGATGAAATTAAAGATATTATCTGTAAAATTGTTTACTATACTTTCATCTGTCTGATAGTACAGGATTCCATTCACTGAAGGAGAAGTCATAAAATTGAGTGATATCTCTCAATATATCAGTCCCTAACAGTCATGTCTTTCTCTCTAATGATTAATAGATGGAGTAAATGTGGCTTTACGTGGCATTAATTGCATTAGAAACTGAAGTGCAAAGTTAAAAGCTCATGAGGATTCCAAGAGCAGCTAGAGACCCAATGAGAACCCTATATCCACTTACAGAAAACCAGTGCTGAAAAGTATCTTACTGTTGACCACTGAAACCTATCTTGAAGTTTGCTTTTATTTTTTTTCCAAGCAGATGTTCATAGTCCTTTAAAGATTATTTTGTCCATTTCACAGGTCCCCTGTTATGGCTGGAGGTCTCTTTGCTGTGGATCGAAAATGGTTTTGGGAGTTGGGTGGCTATGACCCAGGTTTAGAAATCTGGGGAGGAGAACAATACGAAATCTCTTTTAAGGTAAGTTACCAAGACCCTCACACTGTCTACATAATTTTGGTGAGTCCCGTAGGTTGTCATCATTCCGTCTCACAACCTGTGTTGTAAAATGACAACAAAAATAGATATGTCACCTTTCTAAGTCAGCTTTTGGATGAGAGAAGCTGCTTCCTTCTGATGTTTCAGCGAGATGTAACCAGGCCATAAAAGAAATGCATAAGAGAAATCATTCAAAATCCCATTTGCAGGCAGAAAACTTGGTGTGCCAACAGGACTGCTGCCCCACCAACAAAGCTTTCCTTCCATGGCACTTAGACCATACAGAGAAAAGAATTAAGACAAAAGAAATTGGGTTACTGGAGTTTTTGCCCTTTGTATTTATTTTCAAAATAATGGTTCATATTTTGATTATAACCATTATTCCAAAATTTCAGTAACAGAAGAGTAACTTAAAATATGAATAACAAATTAAGGCTATTTTTCATATAATTCCATAATATGTGAATTTTTTATGTCTTTTCATTGGAAATGGCCCAGGTCTCTACTTGCTTTGATCAGAAATACTCAACAAAATTATACATACATACGATGGAATTCAAATTTCAGGGTTTATGAATGGAAGGAATTCACCACAACATGTGAGGACCAAACAAGCAAAGCAAAATAAACTGTGTGAAAGTTTGTACTCCAAACCTCCAAGATGTTTTTTTTTTTGAAAAAGCAGTGTCATAAAGGAGAAGAAATTCATTCTTTTTTTTTCTTTATCATTGTCATTATTTACACAGAAGATAGATTGATGTTATAAGATTTATCATACAGAAATCTCTTACTAAATAAATCATTTTTTCCTAATTACTTCCAATATAAAATCAAACCAATTCTTGCTGAGGAAAAAAAAAAAAAGCATCCTGAATACAATAACAATCAAACTTAAGAATCCAGCTAAACTCTTTGAATTTATGCATCAAAAGAAAATGATAAAGCTGATCTTCATAAAACTGTAACAGCTATATTCAATGTGTTGACAAAAATGTTATGTTGTCCTCACAGTGTCAAAAATAAATATCTTTAAGGAAAAACTCAGGAGGCATGATTGCAGGCTTCAGGCCATCTAGAAGTTTCCATCTCACTCTGCTGGCAGTAGTCCCTGAAATACCATTTAGTAAATTCATGCTCTTTTTCATCATCATTCAAACACATCTAATCTCATATCTAAAGTACTTCTTTAAAATCTTTTTGTGGATATGTGATTTTAAATCCTTAAATTTACCAATTTTGTTTGTTTCTCTGTGATAGTAATAACTTCACACTCACCACAATGTATATGACAGAAGGTCGTTTAATAGTAGTAATGATGACAAAACGACATTTACGTACTGGTATGTGCCAGATGCTGAGCTAAATGCTTTATATACATTATCTAATTTAAAGACATGACTCTAAGAGGTAGGTGTTATTCCATTTGAATAAACTGAGTGAATAAACTGAGACTTAACGTTTTAAAGATTTTACATTAAAAATGGTTTTGAACTTAAAGATTACGTAAATTACCTCATGCTGCTTTGGGATTAAAATGCTCCATTTCTGCTTAACTGCAGAGAATACAGAACCAATACTGCCCGTACCATTCTAGAGTTCATTGTGAACCCTTTGATCTCTACATAAAGTTTCCTCTCATTGAAAAGGCAAGTATCTTCCTTACAGCCAATAGCATGACAGCAAATTTACTGCTGACCCTGGCAAAATAACACTGATTATCTGACATGGCTCAAAGCTAGGTGCAAAGTTCGCTGTAACACCATCAACTGGAAAAAGAGAGTATTACATTTGACCCCAGCATTAAGGGAAAAAAATGGCATTGCTATATCTGCAATATCTTCAGAATTCAAGAAATACTTTTTACTTTCCGCTGTTCAAGATTTCTTTTCCTGGGCGCCTGGGTGGCTCAGTCGTTAAGCGTCTGCCTTCGGCTCGGGTCATGGTCCCAGGGTCCTGGGATCGAGCCCCGCGTCAGCTCCCTGCTCCTCGGGGAGCCTGCTTCTCCCTCTCCCACTCCCCCTGCTTGCGTTCCCTCTCTTGCTGTGTCTCTCTCTGTCAAATAAATAAAATCTTTAAAAAAAAAAAAAAAAAAGAAAGAAAAGAAAAAAAAAGAAATGGTATGGGCCTCCATTTAAAAAAAAAAAAAAGATTTCTTTTCCTTAAATACTGTTAATTCACAGATTCTTTAAGTTTAAAATGTTATTAAGAACATTTCTACTAAGCAGGAGATACCTGGCTTTGAATAACGAGCTGGATGATGGATAAAATTGCTATGGAAAGTCTGGAGCACTTGCCCGATACACATTTGCATTCTAAATCACAAAAGCATTTCTTAAACAAACATAGACCTGCATCTCTCATTTCTGTGTCACTTGTAGCTACCACACCTCTTCTGGGTGACCTGAGATTTTATTACTCCATTTCCTATTTTTCAGTTACCTGTCATTCTGAAGGACATAATTGGGATACAGTCCTGTCGTCCTTGTCTAGAAACCATGGCAACAGTGCTGGAAGTTCAGGACTAAATTGCCCCAGGTTGTTTGGTTGGAATGACAGATTCTTTGGCAACAGCTATTTCTTCCAGGGACCTGGTTCAGACATATCCCTTCATTCTTCTTGCTATTGTGTGCTGACCTTGGGGTTCCTGTCCCTCCCTATTAGTATTTGTAACACGAAGGTGACAGACTTACACAGGCTTTGGTAGAATTTGCATTGAAGCAAGAAGAATTTTCTCATTAATTCTTGTGAAAGGAATCAAGAGAGTTGTACACACCTAGTTCTGTGAAATAGTATTAAAAATAAAAGAAAAATCAAACATCTGCCTCCCAGGACATATTCCATAAATTATGATTAATTTTGCAGGGCAAAGCACTGTAAAATATACACTGGCCAGCACTTGAGATTCAGGAAATATGTATGGATAACTAAGAGTTTACAAGTCTATTTAACACCATAATAGAAATTGTTTTAAGTGTTGAAACTTAAACTCCGATTCAAAAGAGTTCTATCTATGGTCATTATCAGGCATCATTCCTTGCTGTTTACTCTTTAATCAAAGAATCATTTTACCACAGTTTATGACAAGGTTCCATCGCTAAATAAACTATTTCTAGAAAATTCTGCTTTACATTAAGGGCTTAGTTTTTGGTCAAACATTTTTTGGTTAAGAGTGCTCCTCAATTTTCTTTCTCTGTAAATCTCTTTCCTTTTTCTAACATCTGATTAAATGAGCAGATTTCATGCCATAACATAAAAGCCAACAAAAGTGTAATTTTCAGGAGGCAGTTGAGGAAAAGAGCTCTCTAGAGAAATGATCTGTGTGCCCAGTCTTCAGCCTCTTTTAGTATGAATCTGAACTCCTGAATGGCCCAGAATTATCCAGCTGTCTTTCAAATGTTGCTAGGTTAGCCAGCTGCTAGGGAGGAGAAAGCAGCATTCAGTCAGTCATTCAACAAGTTTTTATTGAGCATCTAATTTATTCCAGGCCTTGTTCCAGGTACTCAATTTGGAATTGCACCTGGAAACAAAAAGGAACCCAAAACAGACTGCATGGTGTGGCATAAAAGAGATAACCCACACCTTTAAATATTGTCTATCATTTGACTTATTGAAATAATGGCAAACCTTTATGAATCTGATTTTTCCGAGCACCTTTTTACATGCATTCCCCAAAAATAAAAGTCCAAATGTTAGCATTTTCAAAAGATCTGTCCTTCAATTACAGAAAACTCTTCTCAGAAAATAAAAATGAGCAATACACACTAATTAGGCACCCACAAGAAATTTAGGAGGAAGCCCAGGGACTCCATCCCATCACACTCTCTGGCACGAGATACAGCTTAGACCCAGGTAGAAGAGCATTAACTCTGGTCTGGGCTGCCCTTTCCCACCCTTGGGGCTTATCAACATGGTCCCACATTGATCCAGCATTTCTTGGCCATCTGTAGTCAGGAAAGGGGCTTGACCACTAGCCTTAGCTGTGCAGCCACATGCCAGGCTCCAGGTGAGATGACTATGGCTACCTTATGTCCTAGAATGAATCTAACAAACCTGGGAGCACGTAAGCCTGCTTCAAAACCACTCTAAGGGGGTAACCCACTACACAATCACCTTTGTTATGTGCTGTCAACCTTCCGAAATGTTGAGTTTAAGATTCAGACATTTGAGGATATTTTGCATCTCACAACCCTTCAGCCCTTTTCAGTCATTAATTCATTCAACAGACATTTATTTATTAATTACAATGTGCCAACTCTTGGCTAAGCTCTTGAGATGCAAGGATAAATGTGAGAAGATTCAATTCACCGCAATTACTCATCCTTAGTATTGTTTGTAATATATTTTATTTCCATATCACAGTAATAATTCAGGACATATGCAATAGCCTGTTCGCTAGCCTCCCTGGCTATATTCTTTCTCCTCTTTCAACCTATATCCACATTCTTTTATTCCCCGAGTTGTTTTATTCTCCTCTCCTAAAAATTCAGTTCCTCCTAATTACCACACAAATCAAATGAATGTACTGAAACATTAACCATGAGACTTTGCATCAATCATCTGCTTCACTTGTCTGAATTTACACAGCAAACCAACTTAGTGTTTTTCTGCTCTTTCCAGAGATAGAAACTCATACTTCCATGTCTATTCCTATTTATTGCAGAGATTTTAACTAACCAGTCAGACTTTGTTCCTGAGAAATTTGTTTATTCTCTCTACAAATATTAATCAGCAACCTTCACTGTGAGTCTATGTACCATGCAAGCTAGACTCTGCAGAAAAAAAACAAAAGGAAGCCCAGTAGAAGTCCTTGGATCAAGTATAACTGAGATGGGTATTTCACCCATTAAAAATTAACATCAATTAAAGCAGGGAAGCACAAAAACCTACATTAAAAATTCCCTCTAAAGTAGTACATACAAATGTGCATTTATTCGCCACCCTTCTAATGCAAGAGAGGTGAAAGCTTTTCCTTCTGCTGGATC